CTCTCTCTCTCTCTCTCTCTCTCTCTCTCTCTCTCTCTCTCTCTCTCTCTCTCGCTGTGTGTGTGTAAATAGACAACCCTGTGTGCTTAACATTTCTGCTTTCTCTAGTGCTTATCTGTAAGCACTATGACCTACATACCTCCTACATCTCCCCCATCTTCTTAAAAAAAAAGAAAATAGTAGCTATAATAGAGGTCAAAGTTGAATGCATTGGGTCCATGGCTAGTCTAACTAATATAGGCAAACATATGAGAACGGTAAGAACAGCTAACAGAGAACCAAGGAAATGGGTCTTCTCAAGGTGACTTGAGAAATTTTTTTTATCCTTTTGTACAGATCATGAATTTAACCATCGATAGAATGAGAAAATCTGACACTAGAAACTTTGTTAGAAGAAAGACCTTAAGTGGCTGACATTTTTGACTTTTCTTTCAACCTTATCACACTGGCTTTGGACTGCAGAACTACCCTTGTTTAACTGAAGACCTGGAAGTGATTTTACCACTTCTTTATGTCTCATTTTTCTTTTCTGAATAGTAAAGAGAACAACAAAGGTTTGGGTGGGGATTTGTGAATAATGGAAAGAAAGCACTAATGCAACATGGCCACAGCAAGGGTTTGACTAATGTTTTGTTGCCTTTGTTGCTATTTTCATTAGTGTTTGCCCCAATCTCAAAGAGCTGCAAGCCACAAACTCTACCATGCCTTTAGTGAAATGCAAGTGTGAGGAGCAGGGTACCCTTAGTGCATGGCAGGATCAAATGAGCATAGCAACATGGGAAGAAGCAAGATTCAGTCTAGCATACAAGAGCCCTATTTAGTAGTCACCATTCTCTTCCAAAATCTCCCTTTTAAATGGCTGTTCACGAAGGATCCTGCTCTTGAAAGAATCCTTAACCAGCCAGTTTATGAAGTCAATGTAGATTGTCAGTGAGGTCAAGGTGTTTCTCTTACGGAAGCCAAAGCCCTCCAAAGTAAGAACCGAGAGCAGCAAAGCCCAGGGAATAGGTAAATGGCAGAGACTTGGCTGAGGCAGAGGCTCCAAGAAGATGGCCACATCAACCTACTCCGTGACAAGCTGTTGTTGCCAGTGTCCTCACTCCCAGGAAAGATGCAGAGGTTGTCTTTTATTCACCCATGGTAATAATATCATGTAGATGATACAGCTCAGATTTAAAGTTCCGATCTGCTTTATTTCTCAACTGTGTTCTTTGCAACACAAGTGTTTCCACTACAGTGGGGCTTGTGAGAAGCATAAAGACTAGACATCCTTTCAGAATTTACCACCCACAGAGCCATAAGGAAAGAAAACCCAGGCAAGCCTGATCTTGTACAGTAACATGCATACTTCTAGAATGCAAAGACACATTCATGTGCACCACACAAATTCCACCAGTGAGGTTGATGATCAAAATAATGTCTGTAGCTTTAAAGACCCGCATAGAGCATTGGGAAATAAATGTGGAATGGACATCTGAAGGCCTCTGATGTAGCCTCTTAACTTCCTCTTGGTATGGGTGAGCAAGCAGTCAGGGTGGCAGCAGAGCATGGGTAGCCAGGGGAGTTGGTGCAGTGGCTGTTTGCCACTTGTGGCAGAACTATTTGAATGTGTAACCATGGATTCAGTAGTATTTATGCAGACTGGAATGCACCTGTGGAACATCAGCCCTGTGAACATTCACCTTTGACACTCACAAAGCATGGCATGCACATGTTCATACTATCACACCTATACATTCCTGAGCCTTCCCATAAAGACTCACCATGAACTGACCCCAAAACCACATGCTTGCTGTCTTTCAAACTCAAATTTGTATTCTTCCCTCAATAATATAACTCCAGACATCCCAAAACATAGACACATGCATACAGTCATTTTTTGCTCATAGCATGACTTCAGAATCTGAGTCCAGCCTCTGATCCCAGGGCTCCTGTCTTTTCACTTTTCATCAGGTCTCTGATACATCATAGCAGTGGTATCTAGCAAGCTGCCTTAAGTGAGTTTTCATAGACCAGAGACCTCAGGATAAAGACTTTTGATGCTGAGGGTTGGAAGGGATTAAGCACAGTTCAGAGAAAGAAAACTGTTATGCACACACACACACACTGAGAGACACACACAGAATATCTCTGGAAGCATCTATGGGTGGACTATATGGAACATGATTCCCTTGGAGTCTAACTGACCTGAGGTGATGTCCAATCTCCTCTTCTCTTTCTATTAAGTAGTCTTTTCTGGGCAGTGGTGGCACACGCCTTTAATCCCAGCACTCTGGAGGCAGAGCCATGTGGATTTCTGTGAGTTCGAGGCCAGCTGGTCTACAGTGTGAGTTCCAGGAAAGGCACCAAAGCTACGCAGAGAAACTGTCTTGAAAAACCAGGGGAAAAAAAAGTAGTCTCAGCTAAACTTTCTACTTTCTGAGCTGTTTAATTAGGATGATGAGTCAAACTTCAAGGCCTGAATGTGAAACTCAAGCAGCAGATCTTTCTTTTCTTTGTCAGCGTCAAATATCTTTCCTTCATTGTTATTATTTAAAACATTTGCATACAATATATGGACCATGTCTTTCCCCTCCCCAAGTCCTACCCAACCAACTTCATATTCTCTCTCTCTCTCTCTCTCTCTCTCTCTCTCTCTCTCTCTCTCTCTCTCTCTCTCTCTCTATCTCTCAAAAAATAAAAAAAATAAAAAACAATCAATTAAGAGCTGGGCGGTAGTGGCACACGCCCTTAATCCCAGCACTCGGGAGGCAGAGGCAGGAAGATATCTCTGAGTTGGTAGCCAGCCTGGCTCTCTGAGTGAGATCCAGGACAGGATCCAAAGCTACACAGAGAATCCCTGTCTCAAAACAAACAAAAACAAAATACCCAAACCATAACAAAAAGAAACACAGACGCACAAAAGATGGAGTCTGTTTTGTTTTAGTCTTCGCTGGATTATGGCTGATATAGCCAGTGTTATTCCTTTGGAGAAAACTAACTTTCCCTTTCCCAGCAAGTATCAATTGCAAATAGCTACTTAGGCATGAGAATTTTGTGCCTGCTTCCTCTTCTCCATGCTGGGATTTTGTCTATCTGAATTTGTGCAGGTTCTTTGTGTGCTGTTACAGTCTCTGTGAGTTCATATGTCTATCATCCCTGTTGTGTCTGGAAGATTATGTTCTCTTAGAGTCGTCCATCATCTCTGGATATTACAATATTTCGATCTCCTCTTCTGCATGGATCCCTGAGCCTTAAGAAGAGGAGTTTGATGAAGACATCCCATTTAGGACTGAGTGCTCCAAAGTCTCTTACTCTGCCCATTGTCAAGTTGTGGGACTTTGTGTTAATTCTCCTCTACTACAGGAAGAAGCTTCTCTGATGAGGGTTGAGCAATAAACATATCTATGGGCATAGCAATATTCCATTAGGAATTATTTTATTGCTATGTTCATTTAGCAGAATGGTTGTAGTAGGTTTTCTCAAAGAGCCCATGACCTCTCTAGTCTCAGTTTTCTTGGCGTCATTAACAGTGTCAAGTATGAGTTCTACCTCAAGCAGTGAATCTTAAATTCAATCAAAAGTGGTTGGTTACACCCAAAACATTTGTCCCACTATTGCATCAGCATAAATTGTAGGCAGGTTTCTATTACAGGTCACAAGTTCATAGCTGGGTAAGATTGGTGATTACTTTTCTTCTCAGGCAGCATCTAAGTACCTTCCAGCACCATGAATGCTGGTTAATAAGGTTGAAGCTTCTAGCTGGGAACCAGCTTGATATTTGATGGCATAGATAGTGGTATCTTTGGCAATAAGATTGTAGAGAGTTGCTAATAGCATTGACAATAGCCAGTAATGTTTGGGGGTGTTCTATGGGACTACTTTGGCCAACTACTCAATAAAATATAGCCCATTTTTGGTACTGGGACTTTTATTTGATAGTATATGCTGTGTAGTTGGGCATTCTCTCCCTCATTATATGGTAACTCTACTTAAATTCTAATATGAATTATATATATGTATGTGTGTGTTATATACATATATACGTGAAGTTTCTAGATTAGTAGTGACTAGAGTCATTGATATGACTTTCCAAAAGGCTTTAGTGTTAGTTGTCCCTCCCCATATCTGTCCCTTTACCTTGTCCTCCCGTCCCCCTCCTGTTTAATCTTCTTACTTCTTCCTTTATCACTTTATAATACTATATTCTATAGGGTGGCAAAATTTATTTTTAAAACTTTTATTGGCTTATATTTATTGTACATATCAGTGGGTTTTGCAGATATCTCATGGAAGCACATCATGTACTTTGACTACATCCATTCACACCCTCTTCCATCCTCTTCCCCTTCTTCCCTTTTAGTCACCCTCCTCTTCCATAGAATTTCACTTCTAATTTCATATAATATATCTAAATGATTATTTCATGTACATATACATGTATTAAATGAAATCACTTATGTGATTTAATTAATGTATGTAATATAAATTTGAGTCCACATTTGAAAGAAAATATATTTGCTTTTTAGTGTCTCGAAAAACCAAAAAAAAATAAAAAAATAAAAAATAAAAAAATAGAGTGTAGCTTCTTTTATTGAACATGATGAGCTCCATTTTCAGCTATTTTTTCTACAAAGAAAATTCATTATTCTATATGGTTGAATAAAGCTCTCTTGGGCATATATGCTATTTTTATTATGTATTAATTTGTTGATAGATATATAGGCTAATTCTGTAATTTAGCTTTTGTGAATAGTGCTGAAATAAACATGTATGTGCAGGTGCTTCTGTGGTGTGCTGTCTTAGATTCCTTTAGCATGTCCCCAAGAGTAGTGTAGCTCGATCATATGTAACTATTGGTGCTATGGTGAGGAATCCCCATCCTGATTTCCACAGTGGCTAGACTAATATCTAGTCCCAACAGCAGTATATCCCTCACCACTTCATTGGTGTCTTAGTTACTTTCTATTGCTATAATAAGACACCATGACTAAGACAACTGACAAAAGGAAGTGTTTAATAGACATTACAGTGTTAGAAGGTGAGCCTGTGACCATCACTGTGGGGAGCATGGCAGTAGGAAGGCAAGCATGCACTGGAGCAGTAGCTGAGAGTTTATATCTGATCCACAAGCACAAGGCTGAGAGTGAGAAAGATTGAGTATTTGAAACATCAAAACATACCCCTAATGACACACCTCCTCCAACAGGGCCACACATATGAGCCTATGAGGGTATTTCCATTAAAATGATGACAATCAGTATTATATTTGCATAATTTCCACCCCTAACTTCTTCCATGGTCTGCAGCTATCTCACAAATCCATGACCTCTTCTTCATTATTGTTACACACATATCACACACACACACACACACACACACACACACACACACACACACACACACACGAATCCCTTTAGTATTGCTCATATGTATATGTGTTTAGGACTGACCACTCAGGATTGACAATCTATCAAGTGGCTTGTTCCTAGAGAACATTAATTCTCCTTTTATTAGAAGTCATTAATTGATGATAGCTCTTAGTGTAGCAATGGGATCTTATTAGATTTCCCTTATTCACTTTGAAATGTTAATTGTTGTTTTTCATTGTATAGGTCTTGTTTAGGCTACTAAATTGTTGAGATTCCATGGTGGATTTCATATATGAAAATAACTTTTACCTAACTTCCTGGTCCACTGACTCTTGCAATCTTTCCACCCCCTTTTCTACAACTTGAACCTTATGTGGAGTAGTTGTATATGGACATAATACATGATAGTGGGCACTACAAAATCATTTGTTCTCTGAACTTTGATCAGTTGTGGACTTCTGCAGTGGTCTCCTTCTATTAAAAAAAAGAAACTCCTTTGATGAGGGGTGAGAGCTACATTTATCTGTGGGTATAAGGACAGATATTTAGAATGCAGTTAGGAATTATACTTATTTAGGGAAGTAGCAGTAGTAAGTTTTCTTCTAAGGTCCATGCTCACTAGCTATGGGTAGTTGGCTGTATTTATATATCAGACATAAATTCCCTCCAATTGAGA